ATTTATTATCTTAGCTGCTAAAATAATCTAGTAAGAAGTTCCTTATTTTTAAGCGTGAGATTCCATCCCATAAATAAGTGAAAAAAAACCTCTATCTCTGGGAAGCATTTGATTAGCCGTTTAGTAATACAACAAAAGGACCTAGACCAGTGGTTCTCAACCTGTGGGTCGGGACCCCATTTGGAGTCGATCGACCATTTCACGGGGGTCGCCAAGCAAGGCTGTCCGCCATTTTTTTTGTCCGCCATTTTTTTATCCACCATTTTTTTTCCCTTTTCCAGCAGGTGCCTTACCTCCCTTGGGCTGGGCCAGCTGGTGGTTGGCCTGCTCCGTCTCTGCCGCTTGCCAGCTACGCCTCAGCCGGCGCAGGGGGCGGAACCATGCATGCGCGGCGCTCCCGGGCAGGGAAAGTCCTCGACTTACGACCGGTTGGGTAGTCCTTGACTTACGACCGGTTTAGTCCTCGACTTACGACCAGCTTAGTCCTCGACTTATGACCGGTTGGGGTCGCGGCATTAAAAAGGTTGAGAACCACTGACCTAGACTTTTGTTAGCTTAATCCTTGATTTACGACCACAATTGATCCCAAATTTTCCGTTGGTAAGCAAGACAGAAGTTGAGTTTTGTCCCCTTTTACAACCTTTCTTTTCACATTTGTTAAGGGAATCACTGCAGTTGTTAAGTGAATCTGGCTTCCCCATCGACTTTGTTTCAGGTCGCAATAGGTGATCATTATGCAACTGTCATAAATACATGCCAGTTGCCAAGCATCCTTATTTTGATCCCATGACCGTGAGGATGCTGCAAGGGTCAGAATGCGAAAAATGGTCATGTCGCTTTTTTCAGTGCCATTGTGACTTCAAATGGTCACTAAACGAATGATTGTAAGTTGAGGGCTACTTGTACATGTAAATTCGTCTACCATCCAAATGCTCAAACGTCAAAATAAGGCATCTGCAAATGTTCCAGACTAGCAACACAATTTTATTTGTAAACATTTATGTTACATGTTCCAATAAGTTAACTGAATTCCAGCATTTGTACATTTCACTGTATATGGTCAAAGTTGGATTAGGAAGAAAGAAACTGGACTGTTTCATGGTTGTTACTGTCCCATGTTTTAAAACCTTCCAAAATACAAGCAGCATTAAAAACAGTGAGGAAATACAAAGAAAAGTAACAGGATTATTGAAAGAAAGAATTTAGATGATTAGGTAGCTGAGGGAAGAAGAGGTTGTATACATATATATATATATAAAAGAATCATTGAAATAAAACACATTCTGGAGAAACTCACAGAGCAAGTCCAATAAAAATATTATTTCTGGATGTCTCGTTTACTCTAAATTCAAAAAGCAGATTACATCTTAATAATGAAGCACAAAGACAAACCACGAAATGTTATGGCCTAAAATACTACTAACTTGATTCTGGACAAATAAAAGCTGCTGGAAAAAAAGAAAAAAAAAACCCAGAACCAATAAAAAAAAATAATGGATCCCACAGATGTTAAAATTTTGCTTTTGTTCACAGTATATTTAAATCATCATTCAAAAAACCCTAAAATATAGCATATGCACGCATAAGAAAAACCCGAAATGACAAATTAAGGCTCTGCTTTGTACCTCTGCTTTCTGTTACAGAATCACCCACCCAGGACCCCTTGCAATATAGCCATTATTCACCATTTGGTTATCTCCTTCATATCTAGTTTAAGTGTTACCTTTCTGGCTTGTCAGGCCTTGCATAACTGCATCCAAAAAGGTAGCTGGCCTACCAGTAATTTTATGGAAGCTTTAAGGTTAGTTATAGGACTAAAAAAAAAAAAGGAAATGTATTATCTGACATCTGGGAATCAAATAAGAAGCCTGAATCAAGGGGAGATGGGAATCTCAGCCCATCTCTTGGATAGCTCTGAAATTTGAAGCTTTTCTGGTGAATTTCTAGGTACAGATGTCCATTCTACATTTAAGGAAAACAGGATGACAACATGGCCACCATTCCTGGCCCACCCTTGAAAATTCAAACATGAGGGAAATCCACTAGTTTGTCAATACACAAACATATGTGGGGCGTGGGAAAGTGCCTGAATTTTGTCATAGTGTGGGGGGTTGTTGGGTTGGGGGGGCAACTGAATCTTCTACACATTAAAGGAGAGTGTTTATAGTTCAGGGTTGAAGTGAAGGGTCCTTGGTGCTCTCTGAGCTTGCTTGTTTTCTTGCAGACGTTTCATTATCTAAACTTATCAGTTACCTAGTTTGGGTAATGAAATGTCTGTAAGAAAACAAGCAAGCTCAGAGAGCAATGAAGACCCCCTCACTTTTACACATTGCAGGGGTCTTTTAGGGTGGCAAAGAGGGTTCCACAGGAGCCTTGAAGGAGGGCAGTTGAGAGCAGGCAAGTCACAAAAAAGACGGTTGTAATCGAATCTGGAATGAACCCCAATCTTGGCTCTCTTCTGTCACATGAAATATTGCCCCGAGCATCATAGTAGCTGGGGGACGTGTGTGTGTGTGTGTGTGTGTGTGTGTGTGTGTGTGTGTGTGTGTGTGTGTGAGAGAGAGAGAGAGAGAGAGAGAGAGAGAGAGAGAGAGAGAGAGAGAGAGAATAACTCCTCTTAGAATAATTCTCATGCAAAATAATTGTAACAGATTCCCCTTATTCCTTATATTCTCGTCTTGTGTAATTGCAATACCCAAGTCAGTTATTCGAGCAGACCAAATTATTTTGGACAAACTATGTTAGCTGCCAACTTATCCAATATTTAAAAGAGTAGTTTGATAAGCATTTAGTACTTGCTGATATCTAGTTATTTCCATGAGAGGGTCTTCGGCCTGAAGATTTCGATATAATAAGCTGCTGTTTATGCCCAGAAATGAGCCTGCTTCCTAATGGTGCCTCTTCCTAAACAATTTGGCTTCCCAATATGACAGGACAATAACTGGCTTTTGAACTGCAATCAATCTGCATATTTATCCTCTTCCTATTTTTTCCTTGTTGGTTTGAAGGCTCTTAAGTAACAGCTGTGGTATGTGAAGTACTGGCATGGTAGGTGATAAATTACATTTTTAGGTGAAGCTGTGTGTTAAGTATAAGTATTAAAGCCCTATCCGAATATAAAGAGGGAAAGGAGGGTATAAAATGCTGAGAAAGGAGAAAAAGATGGATAAAAGCAGGGCTCTTTATACAAATTTGTCTACTCCTGTTCTTTAGAAGAATAGAATCAGAACTGGTGAATAGAAACAGAAGGGGATTACTGCTTTATGTGTGTGTGTGAGAGAGAGAGAGGGGGGGGGAGAGAGAATGAAACAATATCAACAACCTAAGTTCTAATGGATAGCAAATCTTTTTTAAAAAAACAAAAACAAAAACAAAATCCTGCTATATCCTCCTGGAATGTCAAATGTGCTCTCTAAATTCTTGGTCCCACAAACATCCCCACCATTCAAGTCTGTTGATCTGCATTAGAAAGAAAGAAAGAAAGAAAGAAAGAAAGAAAGAAAGAAAGAAAGAAAGAAAGAAAGAAAGAAAGAAAGAAAGAAAGAAAGAAAGAAAGACCAGTGAAAGAAACTAGCCATGCTTCCTGCAAGTCCTGGATCATCCACTTTAGGCCACAATGATTTTAGGAAACAATTCCAATTCCTAACTTCTTTACAGCTGCATTTTTAGACTCTGCAACCACTGAGAAGATCCTGAAATTAGCAGAACTGCACTGCAGAATGTGTTATCTACCCTACAAAACTACCCTTAAGTATTAAACAACACTGTGCACGTTTCTCTGGCCCTTCTAGGAAGGGAACACTGATAAACTCTAGAAAGACTCCAGCACGAATCATTTCCATTAACTTTTTAAATAACGAACAAACCACTTCAACTGCTGGGGCCATCCGCTAAAACGCCCCTCTGCATCTAATTCCTCTGAAACAAGTGAAAGCCATATAGAAAGGCAACCTTATGGGCAGTTTGTTCAGGATCATTAGGAAATTCCCCAGAGGGTTATCCTCAAAGATTCCCAATTCTGTATCAGACTTGCCTTCCTTTTTAATACCTTGCTATTATAGTTCTAGCATCCCCAGTTATCTGCCTATTCCTACACGGTAGGTAAATGTTTTCTCGAGTTTGGCCTTTTGCTTGAGGGTCTCGGTTACCCCTGAACAGAATTCACTGAAAACTCTTCCTATGTAGCCTTCGACAACATGGAAAATCGTTATCACATCTGCGAAAGTTTTGTGGATCCCATCCACAGTCAAAGGAGCTGTCGTGTGTACGATATTTTTCAAGAAAGACCTTTTCACCTAGCGATTTTCCAAGCTGCCCGATGGAGTGTGCTCGAAAACCCAAGGGAACAGACTCAAAATTTCCAAGTTCAGCTTTTGGGGTACTTGTTGTTGCTGCTTCGCAAAGACAAAACTCTACACAGGATGATGAATTCACACAAACGGAGGACTACGGGTTGAAATCCATTACGTGTGAAACTTTTGCATAGCTAACTCTACAACGATGTGCCGGTGGGAGAAGATGTTTAGTTAGACAGGAGACATTAATTAAATCTCTTAATGTTTTCCCATGAGGCAACTGCAGATGTTTACAAAATTTAAGATTAAAACCCAAGTACAAAATAGCATCAATCTTTCGAAGCCGAAATCTTCCCACCCTTGTTTTTAATCAGGTAGTTAATAGACTTAGGTTGGCGATAGTCCCTTGTACTGCTAGTCCTCAAGAGTGTTGCCAGAATCACGGACAGCTATGGAGCATTATTTGGGTGTAATTTGTGCCTTTCTAACATCAAAAACTGTTTCGACTGTTCCGTATTATTGTAATACAAAAGAACCAGGCAAATTTAAGGTCAGCATTACTAATATATAAAATTGCTATTATCCCTTGCGACAGCATAGAAATTCAATGATCAGGAAACTTAGGAAGGGGACTGTCTGTTAAAAAAAAAAAAAAAGATCGATTGTCTTGAGTTAAGAGACAGGCCAACAACTAACAAAAGCTTTTTTTTTTGTTATGGCAGAACATGCAAGAAATGGGGAGTCAAAATGCCTCTTCCTCCTACCCCTTTCCCCATTGAAATGTAACATTACACACTTTATTAACACCTTCACTGCAGGGGAACGTACTGTGATAGCATCACAAGTTTCAGAAGATTGGCACTGTGAGTTGAATGCAGTTGGTTACCACGAGTCCAAAGGCAAGTTGTGAACGCCATGCTATTTTAGGTGTTCTGGGGGCACGGCTGCAATTAGGATCGAGGAAGGAGACCGTCCACTCCATTCCGATAACGCGCCGTCCTTAAACATGAGATTCTTGGCGGGCAGCGGAACCCCAGCGTCAGCAGAAGTTGGATGAGAAAGTAAACTCGACGCAGAAGAAGAAAAACTGGCCTCTGAAAGCAACTCCATGGTTGAAATGTTTTCCTAAATGAGAAGAAGGGCACAGGGTTCAAATAGGATTCCAGTCTGACCACACAGGTAGTCCTCAACATTACAACCGTTGGTTGAATGACCGTTCAAAGTTACAACAGCACTGAAAAAGTGACTTATGACAGTTTTTCCCACTTATGACCGTTGTAACATCCCCCCCCATGGTCATGGGATCAAAATTCAGATGTTTCGTAATTGGTTCATATTTAGGACAGTTGCAAAGTCCCGGGGTCACGTGATCATCTTCTGTGACCTGACGAGCCAAGTCAATGGGGAAGCCAGATTCACTTAACAACCATTGTTACTAACTTCACAACTGCAGTGATTTCACGTAACAAAGGCGGCAAGAAAGATTGTGAAATGGGGCAAAACTCACTTTAAGAACTGTCTCGCTTCGCAGCAGAAATTTTGGGCTCAATTGTGGTCGTAAGTCGAGGACCACCTGTACTTAAACTCACAGTTACACCCTCTAGCCTGGCTAAACATAGAATTAATTTTGCACAGGAAACTGGAAGAAATTAAGAACACAGGAAGACCGTTGCAACTTTTTTTTTTTGGGGGGGGACTTCACCAAATATTGTAGGGCACCGGGGGGGGGGAAGACTGTTACAAGTGTTATGTTCTAATTTATTAACTATTTCTCTATTTTGATAATGAAAGGATTCATCACAGTGAATTAAGAGCTTTCTCAAGCCCCTCTCCTATTCTTTTGCTGAATTCCCAATATGCAGAGTAGGGCATATATCTGGCATCTGTACTTGGGTTCCTTTGCTGTCCAAGGATTCAAAAGTTGGCTCAATTACATGAGTATGCAACTTTGGGCAAAGGGGGAAGGATTTCTAAAAACAAAGAAGGGCAAAACCACAAACTGCTTTCATTTGAAGTCGAACTATTAATGAAGAGTTTAATGAAGAGACGGACGAGGGGGGACATAATAGCAGAGTTCCAATATCTCAGGGGCTGCCACAAAGAAGAGGGAGTCAAGCTATTCTCCAAAGCGCCTGAAGGCAGGACAAGGAGCAACGGATGGAAACTAATCAGGGAGAGAAGCAACCTAGAACTAAAGAGAAACTTCCTGACAGTTAGAACAATTAACCAGTGGAACAACCTGCCTCCAGAAGCTGTGAATGCTCCAACACTGGAAGTTTTTAAGAAGAGACTGGACAGCCATTTGTCTTAAATGGTATAGGGTTTTCTGCCTGAGCAGGGGGTTGGACTAGATGACCTCCAAGGTCCCTTCCACCTTTATTATTATTATTATTATTGATCATCGCACAGTCAGCCAGATGTTCAGATAGGATTTGGCATTTTGTCTACCTATCAAGTCCTTCCCAAGGACCTGGGATAGGCAGATGTGGATGTTTGATGTTATTACAGATATCGTCGCAGGATGGAAGCAGTTCCTAGTAAGGCCGCCTTTTGCAATTGACTAATGGCGAATTTGTCAATGCCGTTGTTTTTGTTGTTGTTGTTGCTGTTGTTATTATTATTATTATTATTATTATTACTACTACTACTACTACTACTAGTACTACTACTACATGTTTAACTCTTCATTCAGTCCACAGATTCTTGGAGAACACATCCACCCACTTCTGCATATGCCAGTATTTCGGATGTTTGCCCAATGCACCTGTAAAGGTTTCCTTGTCAGTTCTGTCCATCTGCTCATCTCCGTTTCTTGGCCGAGGGGGCCAGCGTTGTCCAAAGACAATTTCTGTGGTCATGTGGTCAGCGTGTCTAAACGCCAACGGCAACTATGCTAGCTGTCCAGCTTCTTTAGCTGTTCCCACAGGGATCTCCTGATCAATGGTACTGAAGCCCACCCAGAGGTACAGAAGACCACGAGATACATGCTCCCGTTTCAGCTCCTGACAAAGACCCTTGCCCAGATTGCAAATCCTGAACAGAGATTTGTAAACTGCCCAGAGTGGCTGGGAGTTGATCAGCTTATAAATAAATGAATAGGTTATTAGTACGTTTACCTGGAATGAATGAACAAAACTAAGGACCTGCAGCGAAAGTTTTCTGCTGGAATGTAACAGTTTTTGGAGGCTGCCAAAAGACAACAGAGAAAGTGACAAGGTCAGGTACAGGATCTGATAACCAAACACTAATTTCCTTTATTTTTCTTTGGTATACTCCATCAAAGCCTCACCTCTCTCTGCTGCATAATCCATGGCTGGCAATCTTCCGACAGACTTTTCGGTTGAGGTCTGCGCTGAACAGTGGGATTCCGAAGCTCAGTTCCAGGGGAACCCACTCCAGTTCTGTCGTAGGAACTAAAAAGATACCTAAGAAAGGACGAAGTGGAAGGGACTTCAGCTGCCAACGTGTATTACTTTTTAAACACTTGTGAATTTAGGTCCCTTCAAATTACATTGCTAGTAATGGGTGACTACTGCACTATAGTATGCAATAATGATCACTTCCTCTTGTATCTGCAAGAGGTTGAACTGCTTATGCCAAGCAATAAATTACACTCAAATGAACAAACAGTGGAAAAACAGCAATCAAGAGAGTTGTCTTTTTTTTCTTCTGGGATGTTCATCAATAACCATCAGCACCATCAGCACCACCATTAGTGCAGCTGAGCAAATCTGAAAAGGAATGCAGCCGCATTTTCTGATTATATCCCCAAAACAGCATGTAGGAAACACCCCTCAAAGCCGATTTATAATACCGTTCTCTGTATTCAGAAAGTTCATCGCAGAGAATAAAAATAACAATAATTTATCCTCTGTGCTTTTTTTTTTGCTATAGAGGTAGTCCTCGACTTGCAACCACAATTGAGCCCAAGTTGCTAAGTGAGACATTTGTTAAGTGAATTTTGCCCCCATTTTACGACCTTTCTTGCCAGAGTCGTGAAGTGAGTCACTGCAGTTGCTAAGTTAGTAGCACAGTTAAGTGAATCTGGCTTCCCCATTGACTTGGCTTGTCAGGAGGTCTCAAAAGGTGATCACACAGGATCCCGGAACACGGCAACTGTCATAAATGTGAGACAGTTGCCCGGTGTCTGAATTTTGATCACATGATCATGGGGATGCTGCAATGGTCGTAACTGTGAAAAACGGTCCTAAGTCACTTTTTTCAGTGTAACTTTGAGTGGTCACTGAAAGAATTATTGTAAGTCGAGGACTACCTGTACAATGTGGTCCTTCCTCCTCCTGCCACTTGTTCTACCACAAAGCCCAACCAATCAACGAGCGGAATTCCTGCTTCTTGTTACAGGTTACCCAGAGACTGCAGAGGACAGCATGGACTACTGTGTGACGCCATTTTAAGTCTTCCATCTCCTAATAATAAAACCTGCTCCATTTTGATAGAGATTACCTTCTGGGCTTTGTTTAGCAGCGGGATCTACGTAAGGCTCTTCAATGACCATTTCAAAGGACTCTGTACTTCCGTTTACATCTGAGTCCAGGGCAAGCTCTGGCTCACCTGAAGAGGAAAATAAATACTTAAACTATAAACATAATCTACCTTGGATCAAAAATTGTCCAAGACGGCATTCCTATTCTTATTCCTGAAATCAATCACTGATAACCTTGAGCCGCAGTGCAATGGTTAGCAGGGATAAGATCCGGAAAAGCAGAAAGATTTGATATAAATACAAAAAGCAGGCTAGTTAGAGCTACATTCTTCCCTATAACGACGTATGGAAGTGAGAGTTGGACACCAAGAACGACTGAAGAAGAATTGACGTCTTTGAACTGTGATGCTGAGGTAAATTATTGCATATATTACTTACATTATAAACACAATCTATCTTGGATGAAAAATTGTCCATGACGGCATTCCTATTCCTATTCCTGAAATCAATAACTGATAACATTGAGCTGCACTGCAATGGTTAGCAGGGATAAGATCCGGAAAAGCAGAAAGATTTATATAAATACAAAAAGCAGGCTAGTTAGAGCTACATTCTTCCCTACAACGACGTATGGATGTGAGAGTTGGACACCAAGAACGACTGAAGAAGAATGGATGCCTTTGAACTGTGATGCTGAGGTAAATTATGGCATATATTATGGGCAACCAGAGGAACCAACAGAGGTGCTGAATCGTATAAAATCAGAAACATCACTAGAAGCCAAAATCGCAAGACTACCTCTGATTTACTTTGGATATGTTGTGCATGCAAATTCATTGAAGAAGTCAATGATGCTAGGAATGGTTAGTGGAACAAGAAGAAGGGGCAAGCAAAGAACCTGCTGGCTTGATAACATCAAAACTGACACAAAGATGGACACCCAACAACTGAAAGAAGCTTTGCTTGGCAGGTTAGGATGGAGAGCCCTTGCCTATAAAGTCGTCAAGAATTGGATATGATTGAATGGTTAAAACAACAACATACACATGAACTGCATTTACTGTAACTAAAGGCTATGAATGTAAGGTTCTGGAATACGTTTCGTAGCTGCATACGTCTTAACGAATGCAGAAGAATCTTGCTACCCCCTTCTGATGTCTTTCCACACTTGCAAGAATGCACACAAATTTAAATTAAAAAACAAACAAACGAAACCTACTAATTTGACAACCCAGGACCAACCTTTTTCGTCAGACGCATCGCTCAGCTTCCTCTTTACAGGGTGACTGAAAGGATTCAACATGGTGATGTAGCCACAGAAGTGCTGGAGATCCATCTTTTCCCTCAACATCTTCAGCGCTTTATGAACACCCATGTTAAGACGGGAAAAATCTAGACATACCCCCCCGCAAAAAAGTGTACGTTAAATCAGTTTACTAAATTAAACCACGGACAATGACAGGAGGACATAAAAAAAGATTTGGAGAATTATTGAAATGTTGACATAATGCCCAGTTTGGGATTTGATATGCTCATATTTGGGATTTCTGTTTTCATTTTGTTCAGTTTACAGTATTTTCTTTGGAAAAGAAAATGTGCAATCAAAACTTTTAATAAAAAAATGATTACTGATGGAGAGCAGGTTTTCCTGTCAGAATACAAGCCTTTGCAGAAGTCTCTAGACTTCTGTCTATAGAAGTCTAAGACTGCTTCCTAGAAACATGAATCAAGACGTCATAGAAACAAATTTCTATCTTGATTTAATGACACATGAACTATTAATAAATAATTCCACCTTACCACCTTGCTGTTCTGCTTCATCAAGTGGAAACGGAATATGGACAGTTTCCCCCACGCCGTATATGCCGTGTCCCTAAATGCCAAAGGAAGAGGTAAGATACAAAATCCGCACATTTCTGACAACTTTCGGTTTTGCGTTTTCCAAGTTGCCTCAATTGTTTTGTGATTTTGGAATATTGGTAAGAGTTGTTGGGGTTAAGACTGGGGATATCTAGGCACAACTCTCTCTGTGAGCATAAAATTCTCAAGCCTGGGCCTGTCATTCTCTCTCAGCACTATTTTACAAAGTGGTTGTCAAGACAAAAGACAGGTAGGATAGGAATGTTTGACCTCTTAGTTGGGACGGAAAATTCCATCATTAAGCAAGGCGATTGTGAAGTGAGTTAGATCCAATTTTGCAACCTCTTTTGCTGTTGTGGTTAAGCGAATCCCCACGGTCATTAAGTGAATCACCAGGTTGTGAAGTGAAATCTGATTTTCCCCCACTGACTTTGCTTGTTGGCAGCTGGCTAGGAAAGTCACAAATGGGGATCACGTGACCCTGGGACACTGCAACCATCTGAAATATGTGCTAGTTGCCGAGTTCCCAAATTTTGACCGTGTGATTGTGGGAATGCAGCAACGGTCATGTATGAGGACTGGTTATAAACCACTTTTTTCAATGCCATTCCAACTTTGAATGATCATTAACTAAATGGTCATAAGTTGAGGATTAGCTGTACAAATGAAATAAATATTGGTTTGAATACTGGTTTGTAGCCATTTTAAAGATCCAGCACTTCTAGATATCCTTTCCTGCAACTGCTGAGCACCAGGGCCTGTTCTAAAACTAATGCTATATCTAGTCATCTCAAGTGTGAAGGCTTGTGAGTTCAACTCCAGTAGAGCTTCAGAGAATAACATCTAGCTACCCACATCTGACAATTCCCAATTAGGACAAAACTGCTTATGCAGCACCTCCTGGTGGTCAATGTCATGTAAAAAACGTGATGGGTTTTTTTAATCCATTGAAAATTGAATTTTGTGGGAGAGATTATATTGGCTGAGTTGATATAATTTGTATCTAATCCAACACACCTGGAAGGTTATCCTTTGTATCCTATGATAACAAACACTGGCCAGGAATTCTAATAAACTACACTTAAAGGAACAGCCTACCCGCCATTTTTTGCCTATTCGTCTTTCTGCTTCTACCCCGGCAAAAAAAATATCTATCAAAACCCAGTTATTTAGTCTATTTTTTATACGTCTTTGTACCTGAATCAGGACAGCAGAATGGGTTAAAGCATCATTCAGCATAGTAAGCACATTTGAAGTGGGGACTACTCCTGGATCGTGACCCCAAGATGTTATTAATAAGCGGTCATAGCCCTGGGAATCAAATGCAAAGAGACAAATTAAGAGCCAATTAACAAGATATTTCCATCTACAGGAGTGTTATTCAGTATCTGTATTTTTCCGCAAGTTTTGCCATTAAAATTTTACTTGGTTCTCTTTTCAGTCTGATCATCTGGCTTAAATCCCTTTCTGTTTGTTGGGAAAGAAAATATGCAAAATCTGATCTGTATTTAAATAATAATAATAATAAAAAAAATAAAGTTGGAAGGGACCTTGGAGGTCGAGTCCAACCCCCTGCACAGGCAGGAAACCCTACACCATTTCGGACAAATGGCTGTCCAGTCTCTTCTTAAAAACTTCCAGTGTTGGAGCATTCACCACTTCTGGAGGCAGGTTGTTCTACTGGCTAATTGTTCTAACTGAAAAGAAGTTTCTCCTTAGTTTTAGGTTGCTTCTCTCCTTGATTAGTTTCCATTCATTGCTTCTTGTCCTGCCTTCAGGCGCTTTGGAGAAGAGCTTGACTCCCTCTTCTTTGTGGCAGCCCCTGAGATATTGGAGCACTGCTATCATGTCCCCCCTCGTCCTTCTCTTCATTAAACTAGACATACCCAATTCCAGCAACCGTTCCTTATATGTTTTAGCCTCCAGTCCCCTAATCATCTTTGTTGCTCTTCTCTGTAATGCATACTTTTTCAAGTAATAGATTTGTTAATGCCATATTTATAATTGGCCTGAGTACAGTCTTTGGTGGAAAGGCTTAATATAATAATATAGTAAGCACCTTTGTTTTTGTAGTTACTTTGTTATCATTAAATCAATTTGTTATGCAGATGTTAAGAATTGAGTGATATAAAAAATTAGAGGTATATAGTCCAGACAACAGGAGAGTGTCTTAGCTTTTGTTACAAGTGTGTCAATGGATCTCAAATTATGGCTTATGCAAGAAAAA